GTTTGGATCAATGAATGCGCGAAAATGGTTGTGTTGCACCTGCTCCTCGTATTGATGCAGGCAGAGATAGAATTGTCAGAAATGTGCATAATGAAGAGCGCGTTTTACAAATAGTAGCACAAGATCCGACAATAAGCGTACGAAGAGTAAGTCGTCAATTGGGTTTGAACAAAACGATAGTACATAATGTTTTGCAAGCGGAACACATGCATCCTTACCATTTTACAAGAGTGCAAGAATTGATGCCGCAAGACTACGCGAATCGCGTGCAATTTTGTCAATGGCTCTTAAATGAAGTGGAAGCTGACAATACATTTATAAATCACGTGCTTTGGACAGACTGTTACGTCCCGCGTTTTTATTTTGGCTTGGGGGCGTCAGAAATCTTCTGACAAGAAGAGGAAAGGCAGAGAAAGAAGAGGTTGAAAATTGGTGCGGGCTTGTGAGTGTAAAATGAGTGTGTATGTGAGTGTGGTCTGTATGATAGATTTATTTCGTGTGTATGTACATGGGTGTCAGTGTGACAGAAACAGGGGCCTATAATAGCGGCATGTTCCGTGCCCCTTTTGGGGCGTTGACGCGAGGGAGGATGATTTTGACCTTCCTTTGGAAGCGCTCCACGGAGACCACTCGCGGGCGAGCGGTGGGTGCCCGGGCGGTCGCTGGTTTCACCGAGGTGGGAGACAGTGCAGGCCCCGGAATAGCGGCCAGCGGCGCTCGCGGAGGAGGGGTGATCGGGGGCCGGGGCTTCCACACGTTTGGGGCAATACTCGCCGGTACTTGGCGGGGGAGGACGAACCTGGGGTTTCTCCGTGTGAAGGGGAGGAAGCTTGGAAGGAGGAGGCTGAGGGTATGGGGGAGGAGATTGAGAATGCGGGGAAGGAAGTCGCGAGTAAGGGGGAGGAGGTGGCGGGAGGTGCGTCTCCCGGGGTGCAGGCACAGGGGCCTTTCGGGCGCACACGTCGAACACGCGCGGGTCAAACACCCGGACTTGATGATGCGCCCTAACTAGGCGTCGTAGCTGGCGCTGCCGCCCTGAGCGGCGGGACCGGCCCATAATCGGGCTTCCTGCGGAAGGCACTCATGGTTACGCTTGGTTATTTACACAAGAGGGAAGGTGTAAGTTAATTAGTGGGGAGGGGAGGTAAACGGTGTCCTGCTCTGGCACACACGGAACTGCACGGGTTGCGCAATATTCCTCCTCCCGTTTGCTTTACCTGTGGGTGGAAAGCGTTGGCTTTTATGGGAGTACTCAGTAGCGTGCATTAATCACTGAGATTCAGTTGCGTTGCTATCATCATTGTACTCTATTGCAACGCTATATCCACTTTAATTACTTTATAACTACCGCGAACGAGGATACTTGAGTGTTTGAGTTAGCAGAATTAATAACAAATTGAAGAAAGAAAGGAGGAAAGATGAAAACAAAAGTAAAATATTACTGGGGAACAAAATCGTCCCTGTCCGCTATCACGGATCTTATAAGAAAAGAAAAAGAAAAGGAACTTGATAATTGGCATAATATGCCGGGGCTGTCGTGGCCCGAGTGTGTGCTTATTTGCATGCCTTACTGGCTCAAATGCTTGTTCCGAAAACAATGCGTATCTGGAACAACGTTGTTTAGTTCGTTTGTTTCCCCGTGTGCCAGGTGCCCATTCGAGGTTTCCCTAACAGCGAGGGGACCCTGTTAAATTGCCGGTAGCAATGAGAGATGGAAAAATTGTCGTGATTTGTCTGGATGAGGCCCCCTTTTCTTTTGTGGGGTCTGACTCGGGGAACGGAAACGACGGCGAAAAAGAAACAACAAAACAAAAGGTACGAGGCGTGAGGAAACAGAAAGAGGGGCGAAGGTATACGTGATTCAGATAGGACCCGGGTGCTTAATGCCGGGCTGGTGAATCGGTTCCAACGAAGAACGCCCTGTGCAAGAGCGCGCATTCGAAGGTGGAGGAGTCTCAGAAGAACGCCCTGTGGAGAGTGCGCATCCAAGGTGACAGACGGATCAGAAGAACGCCCGGCAGCGAGCGCGCATCCGAAAGGTGGAGGTAAGATTAGAAGAACGCCCTGTGGAGAGCGCGCAACCAAGGTGGCAGATGGATCAGAAGAACGCCCGGCAGCGAGCGCGCATCCGAAAGGTGGAGGTATCACAGTTTTCGTCGCCGAAGGAGGCGGGGCAGAGTATTACTACCGGACAATAAGGTATTCCGCGTACAGTAATTAATTATTACCTCGACGGCAGGATATTAAATGATGGTTAGGTGTCACTGTATTAATCCACTTACTTTCACTCCGGTTATCACACTCTCACTCACTCCGTCTACAGGCAGAGACTTTATCTCGCCGGGTTATAGTCGGGCAGAGCTTTGCCTTCCTTACTGATTTTTCCCTTTTCCTGAGGCTTGGCTTTCGGACAGAGCTTCGTCTCGTGAAACGTTGGAAAACGTACTGCGAATTCGGGCTCCGATGGCCCGCTTATATACTGTTAGGTTGTAGGGCAAGTGCGGAAGTGGTGATGAGCGGGGGCCCTTCGGAATTTTCCTTTAATGTGCTAATTATTGCACCTTCCGGTGCTCTAAACAATTTGAGCTTTGGTCACCTTGGCAAAGGGCCTCCGTTCATCCTTATGCCGTTTTTCAAGCTTTAAATTTGCCGCGCGCCGCCGATTAATTAATCCGCATACCGATCCCTTGTTTTTCTCCCTAGAGTTCCGCTATATCGCGTCGAGTCACGTAGGCATCGAACCTTCTAGAAGCTTCGCCGGAATTTCTATAAATGGTATATTTCTCTTATTTACAGCGATTTTTAATGGTCCTGATTGCCATCGTGGCTACCGGTGGAAGCGCATAGCGCCCTCGCACGCGGCTGTGATCAACGGTTCCCGTGGAGTTCACTCCTTCCACGGAAATCGTCGATGTTAGCTTATTGTTCGTTATTATTAAATTTTTATTAATCTGGGACGAAAGCGGAGGCGCCAAGGATTCGTCTGTTATAGTGGGTGCCTCGGCTATCGTCAATTAATCGCTTAATTCTATCGTTAAACTTGGAAAAGAAGGAGAGCGAATATCTGCTAATCACGTGTTGCGCGCGTGTAGTAGCTGCGCACTAGTAGCCGCGCCGCGCCAGTGATACCTATCGGGTGGGCAATTACTACCGCTACTAACCACGTCCAGCGAAAAATGTGCGCTGGACGTGACAAGACGAAGCATTATTTACAAAGGAGGGTATATTTAATGCGCATAATTGGCATTATTGGGCTGATCAAAATCCACACGTAATAAGAAATCGCGCATATCAGCAACGATGGAAATTAAACATATGGGCAGGAATCGTAGGCGAAACAGTCGTGGGACCATATTTATTTCAAGATTATCTTAATGTACGCAAGAAAGAAATACGGTATACATATTTGTCGTGTCTGTTCGAGGTGTCGGATAAGGCTTCGCTTGGAAAGGGAAAGAATTCTTAATATGTGTTGATATATAACGACGTATATTTTCAATCGTACAGACAACTTATCGAACTGCCATCGAGTCGATGATCTGACCCGCCTACCGTAGTGCCATCCTTCAACGTGCGCGAAATACGTCATCGGTCATAATAGTTCTCCCACGCTTATTAAATACTGCAGGTGGCTTATTTTATTACTTCTCGTAATCACGTAAATATTGTGGTCGTCTACGTGATCTATTTGAACGGCGTATTGGATCTGGATCTGGACTTGGGTTCCGCTCTGCTGCTGGTTCTGGAAGTCCGGCCTGGAGGTCGATCTGTTCTGGCTGATTGACTGGAACTCTGGTTAGATCCCCTAAATCTGATTCTTTGTTATTCGAATTGTGATTTGGTTCATCCGAAGACTCTGGTGCAAATGATACGGATTTCTTTGGTTGGACATCCGTTGCGCGTAGTTGGTCAATGTGTCGTTTGAATGTATACCCATCATCCAATTTGATCAGGTAATGGAATTGTCCGAATTTCCTGATGATCGTTCCGAGTTTTCATTGAGCTTTGTTGTTTGCGTAATAGCGTGCTTGTACACGTTCTCCCACGCTTAATTGCCGTGTTGTAAGTTTTGAAGGTGTGGATACTTGAAATTTGACAGGTTTAAGCGCGTCTAGTTGAATACGAATTTGTCGCTGTAAGTATTGTTCTGCAGGTGTTTTCCCATTACTTAAGGGTGTTGCTCGATATCGAAAAAGTATTTCTTGGACTTTATGTTGAATTGATAGTGGTTCGTCGATCATGGCTTTGAGTCTATTTTTGAATGTTTGAACATTCCTTTCCGCTAATCCGTTTGTTGCAGGCTGACCTGGGGCAATGAATTTCTGAAATATACCTGCTTTTTGGCAAAATTCTTTTAATTCCTCACTTGTAAAGATTGTTGCGTTATCTGATACCATAACATCTGGGAATCCATGAGAAGACGTCTTTAAATTTTTT